ATGCGATGGGCCTTGGCTTTCTGCCCTGGGCCCCAGCGAGTCTAATGCTGGCCCTGCTTGGAGGCTCCCCTGAAACCTGCTCATGGCCCCCTAGGGATCCCCAGATCCCTGGTTGAGAACCACTGCACTACCCCACACCAACCCCTCTGCACCAGGCCGGGGTTAGGGTTGCAGCTCTGGGAGAAGGGAGCTTCTTTGGGCAGCAAGTTCCCCCTGGGCAGGGCGAGGAGAATGGCAGGTGTTGTAAAGGGGGGGGGGGGGGTAGTACAGCCAGCCAGTCAGTCAGTTAGTTAGCTATAAAAATCCTTAGTAGCTGTTCCCTTTGCCTCACCTGTAAAGGGTTAAGGAGTCTCACTGCTGTGCTTAGGTAAGACGAAGTGAGTGGGCATCTGGCCAAAAGAGCCAATGGGAAGGCCAGAAATTTTTAAAATTGAGTAAATACTTCCCCTTTGTCTCTCTGTTGTTGTTCTCTCGGCTGGAGAGACAGGGCAGCAGCTGTGGTGTAAGAGGCTTGGGGCCAGGTATGAAAATCATCAATACCCATACCTAGACTTTCTCATTTGCAACTACAGCTATGTAAGTAGAACAGGAAATGTTTAGTTAGACGCGATCGGGTTTATCTCTTTATTTTGGGCTTGTGGAGGCGTCTGTGCTAACAGGTGCTTTTGTTTTGTTTTTGTAACCTTTAAGCTAGACCCCAGAAAGCCATTCCTGGTGTTTAATCCTTGCAGTTTTTTATTTATTTTTTTAATATCTAACAGTAGCCTAATTTTCCAGATGTGTTTTCTTGCCTTTTTTTTCTTCAATAAATCTTACTTTTTTTTTTAAGTAACATGATTGGATTTCTGTCTCTTAAGTGGTCCGTGCACATGTTTTTCAATGAGCTGGTGGCAAAATCTGATTTCTTTTTCTTTTCCTTTTCTCAGCTCTTCCCCGGAGGGGGACTGAAAGAGTTTGGGGGGTATCCCACAGGAAAGAATTTCCAAGTGCGCCTTCCTGGGCTCTCAAAGGTGTTCTGCACTTGGGTGGTGGCAGCATTTACCAACCCAAGACCAGGGTTTGGTAAATCTGCAGCCTGACTCAGGGTGGGTCTACCCTATGGTGTTTGTGCAGCACCTAGCGCCTGCTCCCACATGCGCTATGAATGTCTTGGGTCTTGTTTTAAGCTTAAATTGTAGCATGCCCAGGATACAGGCAGCGCCTGGTACAACAGGGCCCTGATTTTGTTTTCAAATTGATTTTGTGTTTATTTCAATCAGAGGGGTTTATTTATGTGGTATTGGTTCTTCACTTTCTTCTGTTTTATAGCATGAGGCCTGTTCCTCAGTATTTATGCTGTTATAATTATATTGTTTTGAAACTAGTTCAGTTGAGGGGCTACAATCCCTTCATGTAGATGCAGTAAGACCGGTTTAAAGCTGCTTAGAACAATGTAGCTTATTCCTGTGGGGGAGTGAGTCCGTTTCTAGGAATTCCTTTTGAAGAAGTCATTTACTCTCGGCCTGAGGTTCCAGTCTTTTTGCAAAACTAAAACTAAACTAAAATCCTCAAGAAGGTGAGGATTTGGGGGGGAGGTGTGTGTGTGGGAAGGATTTGAGGGGATGAGCAGTCACTCAGGGTTTGTGTGATGTAACCTGGAAAACATGTCTGCATTGTGTCACAACCCGATCCCTGGCACTGCTCAGCTAGACGGGGGGAACGTCGCCAGCCAGCAGGCCGTTAGTCTACAGACAGTCACAGATGCGTTAAGGCTGAGGGCTGTGCTAAGCACTGACACTGAAGCCATGTAAGTGACAAAGGTTTCATGCCACAAAGAGCAGGAGGAGAGGGGATATGACAAAGGCCATTCCACCCCTTCTCCCTCACACCCAGCCCATACACCAGGGTACTCTAAGTCATGGCCCGCAGGATGATTTAATCTGGCTCCCAAATGTGTCCACTCTCCCCACAGCAACAGCCTGGCACGTGGGGCAGTTTTAGAGCATTACAGTGAAACACTGTAAGTGCCAGAGATCTGCTCTACACAATGGCATCCTCTGCGTCGCATCACCTTACACTAGTCATATGTGACTGATCCTGCCCTGCGTCATTCCCAGCTTTCTCCTTGCTCACCGGGGACAGGTTTCTCCAGTCTGAGAGGTCACGTGCGAAGTGAAGTGGCAGAGAGGGGGTGGGGTGGGAACCTGGAGAGGACAGCGCCTTCTCTGCCAAGGGCCAGTGACTCTGGGATGCTCTTGCAGGGGGCAGAGGCATGAAAAGCCATCTGAAAAGTCTCTAGGGCGCCCCTTACCTTGGTATGATTTTCTGAGGTGTGAGAAGTCTAGAAGGTGTTGTGGTCTATGGCCGCACAGGCTTGTCTTTCTACCCAGGTGCTTGTTTGCCCCCCAGCAGCCAGCTCACACAGTCTCTCTCTCTCCCTCCCCCCACCAGTCCATGTACCCCATCTCCTCAGAGTGAGGGCAGGGGAGACAGGGCTCAGGAGAGCTTTCAGTGAGTGTCTTAGAGACAGCACACAGCGTCTCTCAGAAACTTCCCCAGCAGCCAGCACACAGACTGACTCTGTGTGGTACACACACAGCCTCTGGCTCTTTCACACTCACCTCCGAACACATACTTATATTACTATTGTTACTTCTTGGTACTTCCTATAATGCACATATATTCTGTGCAATTTTATTCTTCCTAAGTGTGTGACTTTAGTGTTTTGACTGGTCTATGCATTTCATGATTTTTATTTCTCTTGCACTTAAATTTAATTAGTGAATTCTAAAATACCTAACCTCTCCTGGCTGCAGTAATTATCCCTATGGTAACTTTAAAAAAAATTATAGCTAGGTTTTTTGTTTCTACTGGTGGCGCACATACCTCGGTGCACATAACAAAATTTATTCTGCAGATGGATGGAAAAAATGAGAGGGAACATTGCTCACAGCCCCAATGCCCTTTCCATTACACAGCTGGGGAAGCTGAGGCATGGTGGAGCTGTAGTGACTCGCTTCTAGAACTGAAGCGAGATCTTCCGAATCTTACTGCACTGTCCTACCCACTAGATAAATGAGACCCCAAAAAACTTCTCTCATTCCCTCAGCATCCCTCAAATCTCCCAGCCCACCATTGTCCCATATCACAATTCCACCCCTCTTCCCATTTCATCACAACCCCATCGCCGGTCCATTTCTTTGTTGGGGCTTTGAGGCCCCATCATATGTAGGTCAGAGATTACCAATGCATAGAAGAAATAGGAAGTATTTTAAGAGGCTCCCCTGGCTTAACCAGGAGATTTGTAAAGACCTGAAATTCAAAAAAGAGTCATACAAGAAATAGAAAGTAGGTCAAATTACAAAATGAGTATTAAAAAACAACACACCAGCATGTACGGAGAAAATTAGAAAGGCCAAGGCAAAAAACAAAACTAAACTAGTAATATAAAGGGAAAAAACAAAGCATTTTACAAATACATGAGAAAGCACAGGAAAACAAGGACAGGCTAGGCCCATTAGTGTGTCCAGTTCTGGGCCCCACACTTCAGGAAGTATGTGGACAAATTGGGGAGGGTCAGAGGAGAGCAACAATACTGATTAAATGTCTAGAAAACATGACTTACGAAGAAAGTGAAAAAAATGGCTTTGTTTAGTCTGGAGAAGAGAAGGTGGGGGTGGGGAGAACCCCTGACAACAGTCCTCCTGGACATAAAAGGTTCTTACAGTGGAGGGTGATAAATTGTTCTCCTTATCCACAGAGAACAAGACAAGATTTTATGGGCTTCAATTGCAGCAAGGGAAATAGAGGTTAGACATTAGGAAATACTTCCAACCTCTGAGGGTAGTTAAGCACTGGAACAAAATTATCTAGGCAGGCTGTGGAATCTCCATCATTGGAGGTTTTTAAGAACAGGTTAAACAGACACCTGCCAAGGATGGACTAGGTAATACTTAGTCCTGTCTCAGTGCAGAGATGATTTCTAAGATTCATAGCTATCAAGACCAGACAGGCTCATTGTGCCCATCCAGCCTGGCTTCCTGCCTATCTCAGCCAGAGACTCTCCACCAGCGATTTCTGCCTCTGGCCCAGTAACTGCTGGCGGAACAAGAGCGAAGCTTTGAGAGAGAATTGCCACATCTCCACCGACAGTTCCCAGCCAGTGAATCTCGCTCTGCCTTTACCGTGTACATCAAGGAGCGCTCCGCTAGCAGGTGTGTAAATCAGAAGGAACTGGATTATTATGACTCACCTGAGGAGGGGCTCTCAGGCCCAGAGTTTACCCTGGAGCCCTCAGCATCCTGGATCCAGAGTTCTGCCTCACCTAGCTCGATCCGGTGGATTAAGTCTGGTTTGGAACCTGAAGAGCCTGTTTGGGAGGGAAAGTTTTATTACTAAAATGTTTGGGGGCAGAGACTTGTTTATATGTTTGCGCAGCACCTGGCACGACAGGACAACAAGCTCGCAGGCTGCTTTAGAGTAAAGCGCAAGAGATCTCAAGCAGGAGAGTAATGAAATAAACCTTCCTTAGAGAAGATTTCGTCCGGTCTCTCACTCGTACTCTGAATCAGCAACGTCTACAACCCCTGTCTCACGTTGCAGTGGGGGCCGAGTTTAAAGCCTTGCTGGGCTAACTCTAGCTGTTCCATAGAAATATCCCATCCTGCAAACACCTTGGCCGCTATGCTATCCTGTGTCACCATGTTCATAGGACAACTGTGTGACATGGATTTCCTTTAACCCACAGAAACACCAGTGAACACCCATTCGTCTCAGACTAAGAGACAGGGTGAATTATTTCACTTACCCAACTGTCTCCTGAAACATTTCTCATGGGAAAGACTTTGGAAGACGGGAACGTTGCTCCTTTGCCATCTTATAGCTGTTGAAACGTTTCAGGCATGTCATTAAGGCACATTGGCCACAACGTGTCATGGCAGGTGTCACCAGGTGGCGCCATTACACAGACATTCCAGTTCTTTTGCACTGTTCAACTGTACAGTTGTTAAATGTACTATGTTCGTTCTTTTGGGGGAGGTAGGGAGCTGTTGCAGCAGCAGCGTTTTTTCCCCGCCTTATTTGTATAACTAGAGTCAGGTCCTGAGGCAGAGTTGCTGCCCTCAACGTCTGGCTGGGATTCCTGGAAGAGATTGGTGCTCATGGGCTGTTTGCGAACACCACCGATGTGCCCTGACTGAGGTAGATAATGCAAATAAACAAGTGACACTAAGCTTATCCCCAGGCTCTGTAGCCCTGAGTTCTCCTCCAACAGGGGCTGACCTGAAAGGGGCTGGCATGTGCCACCACTCAGTGATAGGGTGGCACATGGTAACCAAAGCCTCGAGGGTTGGTTTTACAGATGTGAATAAAGGAAGGGAACTCAGTCCTTACCCAGGGAAACGAGAGTCCAGTAATTCCTCAGCATCTGGTCCCGGTACAGCTGCTTCTCTGGCTGGGATAAGAGCTCCCACTCCTCCCGGGTGAAATACAGAGCGACGTCCTCGAACGCCACCTGGAGCTGCTGGCACAAGCGTTACACACTCAGCACCTTCCGCTCCAGCCCCCAGCCCGGAGTCTCAGCAGGGGACGCGGTTTCTAGGGGAGCGACTCCCAGGGACCCCCCGGCCCAGCAGCTGTGACCCAGGGAGACTCCCCCCCACCCCGCACAGCTCCCCCGGGACTGGGGGCCCTGCTGGCCGGGGACAGGAGTCGCCCTCGGCTCCCCACGGGGCTCTGGGGCGGGGTGCTGGGTGGGTCCCGAATCCCAGGGCCGGGAACAGGCTCCTCCCCCCTGGCCGGAGTCCCGCCCCAGGCCTGTGCTCAGCCCCGCTCCCGCCCCGGCTCAGGCGCCTCCGGGCTCCTCTGCCCGGCCGGGGCCTCGCTCGGGGGAAGGGGCCGCGCCCGGCTCTGCGTGTCCGCCCGGCCAGGGCCCCGGGGCCCCAGAGCCGCCCCCCGGCCCCAGCGCTCCGGCTGCTGCAGCCCCCAGCCCCGGGGTCACTAGCGCGGGAGGGACCCGGGTCCCGGCCCCGCTTGGCCTCCAGCTGGGACCAGCCAGTGCCCGGCCGGGGAGTCCCCGCCCCGCGTCCTACCTGCGCCGGCCCCGCTGCAGCCATCACCGGGCTCGGCCCCCACTCGTATCAGCACAAAGTGCTCTCGCTCCCGTTTT